CAACTTGACCTGTGAGCAATTTGGTATGAAAATAAACATTAAAAAAACCAAAGTGATGTCAATCCGAAAAAGCCAAAACGTACCTCAACCTTGCACAATAAATGGGCACATCTTAGAACAGGTCAATAGATTTAAGTACCTGGGATGTTGGGTCGATAGCAGCCTAAATCCTGATCAAGAAATAAGATCAAGAATAGAACAGGCCAGAAAATCTTTCGAAAAAATAAAAAAACTGCTTTGTGATTCTCGAATAAAACTCGAAATTCGACTACGTTTATCAAAATGCTACGTCTGGTCGACTCTTCTATATGCAGTTGAAACGTGGACCCTTAAAACATCAACCGTAAATAAATTGGAGGCCTTTGAAATGTGGATCTACCGGAGAATACTCAAAATTTCATGGACATCGCATACCTTAAACGAAGAAATGCTGCATAGAATGGGCAAGGGAAGAGAACTTTTTAACACAGTAAAAGTTAGAAAAACATCATACCTAGGCCAAGTACCAATATGCCCAACTTATAGTGAAAGGAAAAATCAAGGGAAAGAGAGGCCTAGGAAGGAAAAGACTATCGTGGCTCAGAAACATCCGACAATGGACAGGGCTAAATTTTGAACAGCTAATAAGAACAGCTGAAGATAGAGAAGAGTTTAAAATTGTAGTAGCCAACCTCCATTGAGGAGAGGGCACTTTAAGAAGAAGAAGAAAAACTTGTAGTATTTCAAAATCTGTTCAGGAAAATTTAGTATCAGTTGCCAATCAACTAGCAGAATATGACTTATAGAAAGGCTTTACGGAACGATACAAAGAATTTTTGCTCAGGTCTCCAGAAGCTACAAGCCTGGAAAGGGCAACAAGCTTCAACAAACGAAATATTGATATGTTTCTATTTAACTATTTAATATTATGTAACATAACTACTTATGAGAAGTATAATTTTACCTCAGATCGTATATCCAATTTTGACAAAACAATAATAAGTAGAGTAAATATTCCACTTTAAGTTGTGGCTAAGTGAGGTGAAAAGCAAGTAAGACAAGTGACATCTGTTGAAAGGGAGGAGCAAATCATTGGATTATCATTATGTTAAATGTAATAGCAAACGCTTTGCTACCTGTATTTGTTTGTGGGTTAACAAATGATAATGACAGCAAAAATCGACAGTAAATGCCGAAGACTTCAGCTCCTCATTGTGTACGTCTTTCTGCTTGTTAGGGTGCCTGTCCTTTCCGAACGTTGTTGACTTTGTTAGTTGCTATATGGAATAGCTGTGTTGAGATCTTTTTATACCATAAGCTCAGGTTAACAAGCCAGGATATTGTGGCTTGTGCGGTTGTGTTCATCCTCCACAGTACTTCTTCATTGGTGATTTTGTCAGTTTATGGTATCTTCAGAATCCTTCTATACAAGTAGTTCCCAAGCAGTTGTACTGTGAGGCACGTTCAATTCTCATTTACTTTACATACAGATTTGCTCCAGTTATGTTTTTCTTAATGATCATTAGCATGGTTTTGCTGGTGTTTATATCCAGTCCATATGTTCTACTTGTTTCCGTTGTTTTGTTCATTATATTTTGCAGCCCTTCTATGGTATTCGAAAACACTATTGTATCATCTGCATACCGCAGGTTATTGAGCTTGACTCATTTTATTGAGAAGCCTTTATCAATATCTTTTAGAGCATCTTCAAAAATGTGCTCCGAGTACAGATTGAATATCAGTGATGAAATTATGCACTCCTGTCTCACTCCCCTTAAGATTTTAACCGAATCTGTATATTTTCCATCTATTAGGAGCACCGCTGATTGATTCCAATACAAGTTAGCTCTTATGTTTAGGTCTCTTTTCTCAATTCCTGTCCTCTTCAGGACTTCCATCATTTGTTCATGCCTGACTCTATCGAAAGCCTTCTTGTAATCAATCAAACATGCAAAAACATCACAGCTGACATCTCTACATTTCTTAAAGAATATCTGCACGCTAAATAAAGCTTCTCTCGTATCAACGGCGTTCACGAATCCAAATTATTTTGCCCAATTTGTTCCACGAATTTCCGGTAAATTATTTGTGGATGACTTTTAAAAATAGCTCCAGCAGATGGTTCATTAGGCTTATGGTCTTATAGTCTTCACAATCTTTTGCTCCTGGTTTTTGTGGGCAATGGTACGAAATCTGGTTTGAGCCACTCTACTTGTATTTTTTCTGCCTTGTATATTTCAGTTATTATTTTTATTTGTTTTCCATCTAATAGCTTCAACAGATCTGCAGAAATTTCAAGTCCCAGTACCTTTCCATCGTTCATTTGTCTGATGGCTGCCGTTATTTCTTCTGGTAGGATTTCGGGACCAGAGTTTTCTTCAATGGCGGGTTCTTGTATTGTTCTAAGGTCGTGAAAAAGTTTCTCCAAGTATTTTTCTCATACTCTCTTTTTATCTTCTTTAGTTATGGCACGATTGCCTTCATCATCTGTCATTTTTCCGCCGTTGTGTTTTTGGAACTTTCCAGCTATTTCGTTCACCTTTTGATACACATTGAAGTTATCATATCAACTTTGATACTTCTCTATCTCTTGACATTGTTTTTTTTTGTTCTCTTTGGCTTATCTTTATTTTGACGATGGTATGTATTCTCTTATATTCTTGAAGATTTTCTTTGTTTTTTTTTCTGATGCATAAGTTCAAGTATTTTATCGGCCATCTACTATTTCCGTTTTTCTGTATCGTTCTTAAGGTGTTCTTCTTTTATTTCTCTTACTGTATCTTGTATACTGGTCAGACTTTCCTCTATTGTTCCTGCATTTCTGCATTTTAGCACCTTTATATGACTCACCTTCAGTCGAACATTATGATCTTTTAGTTTTCTAATATCATACTTCTTTATTGACTTACTTGTAACCTTCTTCATTCTGACTTTAAAATTACTTACAACTGGTATATGATCAGAATTTGTCTGCCCCCGGTTATGTTTTGGCAGATGTACAGCTGTTCCTATACCTCTTATTTACTAGCATGTAATTAATCTGATTTCTAACAATCCTTCCTACAGAATCCTATGGAGATTTCCAGGAATACAATTTCTCTGGGTGAAGCTTAAACCAGGTGTTCATTATTACTAATTGATTTGCTTGTTCCTTTGATAGTTCCGGTTTCCTAGTCCATATGGTCCAACTGCAGATGATCTTTTGCTGGCTCCAACCAACTATTGAAGTCATCCATGACAATTGTTAGGTCTTGATTTTTCAACCTTTTTACGACTTGAATAATTCTATGATATAGAGTTTTTCTACCTCTTCTTCTATTTCTTTTGTTGTAGGTGCATACACTGAAATTATATTGATGTCGATCTTACTGTAGGTATTTACCCAATTTAAAAGTCAGTATAACAGAGTTTGTAACAATTGGCTACTAAATCACCAAGGCAAAAACAATATCCATTTATTACATTGGTGATCTTGTGGGACAAGCTTACCCCTTAACTGTTACATCATTTCTGGTTTTCGAGACTGACATCTACCAATTTAACAGTGAGCTATTTTGCGGAAACAAAATTCCTAATGCCTTTATTAACTAATTTTACTCCTCCATCTTCATAAGGTACAAAGAGAATAATATCATTGTTTGTATTTATAATTGATGGATTCGAGCCTTACTTGATGGAAATTCATTTTATGTAACGACAAAACACTGAAAACTTTGTTTTCAAACTTCCACAAAATTTATTTTAAATCTTATCACTACAGCTGTTTCGGCTGATTGCCTTTCTCAAGTGATCTATTTTTGGCTTGGGTTTACAAATTTATAGTCTCTAATGAAATAGGTTGAGGAGGGGAGAACTGTTTGTCTCAAGTTGGTCATTCAGAATATTATCTGTGTTTTTTAATTTGTTGATTTTCATAGATTCTAACAAAGATAGCTTAAGGCCTTTATTTTGAATGTGAAGAATTTTAAATTTGTCATTAAAAGAATGATTATGATCTAGAAGGTGAAGTGCGTATGTCGAATCTGTTTTTCTATTGTTGAAAGCCCTTTTATGTTCTGCTATTCGCTTATCAAAGTTTCTACCAGTTTGACCGATGTAAGTTTTTGGGCAGTCGCCACATTGACCAGCCACATTGACCATAACACCAGCTTTCCGAACAAATAACAACCTAGGCAAATATATTAAAAATAACAAGAGCCAAAATAAAAAACACTTAAATAGTGGTGTGTACAAACTTCAATGTGGCGACTGCCCAAAAACTTACATCGGTCAAACTGGTAGAAACTTTGATAAACGAATAGCAGAACATAAAAGGGCTTTCAAAAATAGGAAAACAGATTCGACATACGCACTTCACCTTCTAGATCATAATCATTCTTTTAATGACACATTTAAAATTCTTCACATTCAATATAAAGGCCTTAAGCTATCTTTGTTAGAACCTATGGAAATCAACAAATTAAAAAACACAGATATAATTCTGAATGACCAACTTGAAACAAACAGTTCTCCCCTCCTCAACCTATTTTATTAGAGACTATAAATTTGTAAACCCAAGCCAAAAATAGATCACTTGAGAAAGGCAATCAGCCGAAACAGCTGTAGTGTTAAGATTTAAAATAAATTTTGTGGAAGTTTTAAAACAAAGTTTTATTGTTTGTATTTGTGGTTAGTTTATCAAAATACAATCTAAAATACAGGAAATTTTCTATCTAGGAAATTTTGAAAAATAACGTATGTCCTTGGCCTGTCCCTGACCCCCCAAGCAGTGTTCCACTCCTCCCAATGGTATGGATGCTATAGGATATTTAAATCTTATACTATTAACTGCACTTCATTTTAAAGAATACTTCTCTATCAGCCATTTTTTATCATTTATGTAGGATAAAGAGCTATCAAGATAAAGTTACTACAAATCAAATGATAGCTTTGGAAACTGATTCAGTAGAAAGAGGTTGGGATGGATGCACCGGAAGAAAAAAATTGAAAATATTTTAATAAATGTAAAGTATATTTGTGTTTGATAAACCCTTATTTACATATATACATTTTTAGTTTTTTGTTTAGTTTAGTCTTGATAATTTTCATCGTTGTAGATATTTTCAAAAACCCAATACGCCTGCATATCGCCTTTACCCTGAAATATAGAAAGCAAAAAATTACTTCAGGTGATAAATAAAGTATCCAATATTAGGTCAATCAACAACAACAATCATCAAAATATCTTAGTATAATAAACAGTCTTCACTCTAGTTTGAAACACTATAAAGTCCTCCGTTCAATTTCATTACCTTTTGAGATATTTTTAGTTTTCTTCAAATCTTTGGAATCTTCATTAATTTATATTAATGTTATATCAACAATATTTTAAGCGAATAAGTTTTTAGAAGTTTTTAGTAAAAGCATTCATAACTGTCGATTGTGGCGAGCAATTATTAATAAGTAAAATGCCACTTGTTTCGGTTAATAACGGTAAAATAGTACGCTTTAAATAAACTGATAGTTTGCATATTATACTACATTTTAATCAGTCTGTATGGCTTGTCATTAATTTTAAAAATGAATAGTTCACGAATTAACAGATATTTATGATCCGGATATTGGGGGAAAGTTCGAGGAATCGTCCACTTGCATCCATAATAAAATATCAACAGTAATATCTTGAAAAGGGGAAGCCAAACGTTAGCTTTTAAAGAATTAATTAATCGTTTTATTCGCACTTGACAGTGGGTCAGTTTTATATAAAAAATTAGACAACTAAATACTGTTATAAGTGAAAAAAAGAAATTCATGAATTGTTAACTACTGCTGAGGATCGTTACATTACCACTTGTAAAATTTAACATCAACATGACATTAGTCAAACTTTAGTGGTGGCAAAAATACTATATATATATATATATATATATATATATATATATATATATATATATATATCATGTTGGAATCATGTTGGAAATATCGGGTATGTGGTCTATATTAAATAAAAATCTTTGTTTTTTCTAAAACTCAATATTTCGCCATTTATTTAACAGCTTCATCAGGAGTAACTGTAAAAAACAAACATTTCAAAAAACTGACGTACACTTAGATTTAAAATACTTACAGAAATTAAAAGATTTCACACATAAATATACTTGACATTAAAATAAACATTTTTGATACTGTATATGCATGTTAGAATATAAATATATTTGAGCACATTCGTTAACAATAAATAAGATGGAAAGAACTAAAAGTTATTTAAAATGTAAAAACTAACAATGTAAGAAAACATTACAGGAATATTATTTCTTTAATTAATCATTAAGGCTAGTTAGTATGATTAATTATTAAGGTGAGTGAGTTTTAAATTTTGTTCAATATATTGCAATATATGTTGCTTAATTGCCCCGTGTCTGTTTTATAATTTAAAGTTTGTTTATTTTTGTTGATGTGGTACATCTCCAAAAATAACCTACTTTTGTAATTTTCAGTCTGTGCCAAAATACGAGCATTGTTATAGTCTAACAGATGACCGCTGTTTTTATAATGCTCGACTACTGCACAACTATTGTTTCCCAAGCGGCAATCACTTTTGTGCTGTATGATACGTTGTTTTTGCCACTGCGATGTATGGCCAATGTAGCTTTTTTCACATCCTAGACACGGTATTTAGGACGGTCTAGGACACGGTTCACTAGCAGAATTTACTTCTGTATTCCAGTCAGACATTTATGTAATCTGGCATTGTGCAAGAGAAACATCAGTAATATACTAACCTTTAACTTAACAGTTCCTCTATTTGTAATAATATACTTCTTGATCGGTATAAGCTCTTTGATGGATTCAGAAATATGTACCATTCCGGGCTAAAAGTGTACAAAAAAAAATTAAAATATATATAATATTAGAAAAATAGTTAGTATTACTAAGATTCGTACTTCTATATAGTATTTTTTAATCTAGTTTAAAGCCAATAATTCGCCGGATACCAACAATTTTTTGTACATAATGAACTATTTTACTGACTTTAAAATTGTGGTTTTTATATTTTGAATGCATATAAGCAAATATCTTTTGCCCAAACAAAACCACAAACGAAGAACTGTGGCGAATAACGAACGAGCAAAAAATAAAAATTACTGTAAAAAAAACGGAAATGGAGATGGATACGCCACACGTTGCGGAAACCACGGTCAAATATAGCCAGAAAATCCTTAGACACTATAGCCTACCAAGTAAAAAAAATCAAGAAAGACTACTAGTTACATGAAAAGGAAACTCAAACAAGTTAAGTTAACATGGAAAGTAGTAAATAATAATATTGCAAGAAACAACAGAGAGTGGAGGAAAGTATTCAATACAATTGGACGGGACTTTTAGGTTGGATTTTTAGGTTTGAATCGGAATCAGCTCGAAAGACTCGAAAGTAGAGATACTGAAATAACTGTTATATCGTTCTATTGATTCCGATTTAGACGTCAAAATTTTGTTTTTTTAAATGATTTTTCTAAATAATGTACGATACGCCGACGACACGGTCCTAATTGCAGAGAGCGCACAGGATCTCCAGACACTCTTAGATGGCGTCAGATCGATCGGAGAACAATACGGCCTCAGCATTAACGTCAAGAAAACAAAAACAATGATTGTCTCCAAAACATCCATCCATCCACCCATGGCTTTAAACGTGAATGGTAACATTATCGAAAATGTCGAGAGATTTCGATATCTAGGGTACTGGATAACGAAAGATATAGATCCAGACATAGAAATAAAATCGCGAATTGAACAAGCAAGAAATGTCTTTTTAAAAATGAAACAAATGTTTACGTCCCAAACACTCAATCTCAAAATCCGATACCGAATGCTGAAATGTTACGTTTACAGCACCTTACTATATGGAATGGAGGCCTGGACCTTCAAAATCAACTCACTTAGGCGTTTGGAAAGTTTTGAAATGTGGTTATTTCGAAGGATGCTGAAAGTCCCCTGGACAGCGCATATGAGCAACGAGCAGGTCCTACACAAGATGTTTACCGACAGAGAACTCTTAAAAATAATGAAAACACGGAAAACCTCATATTTGGGACACATATACAGAAATGAGAAATACCAGCTACTGCAGCTTCTTATAGAGGGGAAGGTAGAAGGAAAACGTGGTCCTGGTAGACGGCAGGCGTCCTGGTTGAAGAACATTCGTGAGTGGACTGGTTTGGATTCTCAATCTTTAATAAGAAAAGCCAGGGACAGAAATGATTTTGCTGAGGTTATCGCCAACCTTCATTGAAGACGGCACCCAAAGAAGAAGAAGAAATGATTTTTAAACGTATTTTTTCCTTACCATGTAACTTTATCTAAAAGGTATTAATTGTTAACATGGACATAATTTTAGATCTTAACCCATTAGGACCCGAGTTATTTTTTTGTAATTTATTAAAGAAACTAATATTACATTTTTCTTAAAAATGTATAATAATAGTGCCGTAAATAAAACAAAATAAATTGTTAAGAAACACAATGAAATTTATATTGACAAGAATGTTTTTCCGTAAAAAGTATAATTGTCGCCAATAGGTACCGAACTATCGAACATCACATTAGAAAATAACGAAATCATCATGCCCTGCGACCATTACACATACCTAGAAATCGTTTTTGACACAACGGGGCAGATGATGAAGAACTAAAGAGATGAATAATACAATCCAGAAAAACAATAGGTTGTCTAAACAGCGTACTGTGGAGTCATGAAATAGGCAAAAGAAGAAAACACAATATCTACGAATCTCTTATTAAAAGCAGTCTATTGTACGGAGCAGAAACTTGGCGAATAACCGAAAACTACAGAAGAAAACTGAAGGCAGTAGAAATGGACGCTTTTGGAAAATCAGTAGGAGTGTCACGCAGAGAGAATGCGTAATGATGAGATAAGACAGTGAATGGGGGTTGACGGCTCTCTAACAACAGACATAGAAAGAAAATAGCTGAAATGGTACGGAAACGTACCATATCAGCTGTTGTATGGACTGTATGGAGCTGTTGTATGGACTCCAGAGGATGGATAACTCAGGACTCCCAAAAATAATTATGCAGTGGGTACCACCAAACCGCAGAAAGAGAGGAAGACCCAAAAAATCTTGGAGAGAGGGAGTAACGAAGGCGATGAGCGTAAGAGATCTTGGAGAGGGATAATGGGATTACAGAGTGTCATGGAAATTAGGCATCAGACAACGTCGCAAGACGTTTTAAAACCGATTGATATATATATATATATATATATATATATATATATATATATATATATATATATGAAATAACGAGAAGTCGAGAGACCTCTCTGATAGCAAATTAGGTGAACCGCAAATTCAAAGCCTCTTGCTAGAGGCTTTCAACGACGCTAGAGAAGTACATTTTTACTTCGACATGCATTTACGATTCACCTTTGAAAATTACCATCTTTTTTCACTCTTTACGTACAGAAAGACGTTTAAATGAAAGTAAAAAGATTGCATTTCATTTCAATCGGAACTCCACCATAGCCCGACACGTGTTTCGGGTTATGCAACCCCGTCGTCAGGAGCTCTTGTGAAAGTTCAACTGAAATGAAATGCAGTCTAGTATTTGGCCATTATAACTAAAATAACAGCCAGGGTACGTTAGCAGCGACGTCTATATGAAATAACGAGAAGTCGAGAGATCTCTCTGATAGCAAATTAGGTGAACCGCAAATTCAAAGCCTCTTGCTAGAGGCTTTCAACGACGCTAGAAGTACATTTTTACTTCGACATGCATCTACGATTCACCTCACATCACATGTTTCCATCTTGTCTTAGATTCTCTGAGATTCTATTAAGCGAGATCCTAAATATCGAAGAACTGGGTCTTCCTCCATGCTTTGGAGCATTTGTATATTTTTTAAGATATGACTGAGCAATACATCTTCTGAAATCTAATTGGAAAATCTTAGGTGTAGTTAGGAGTAGTGGTGCTTTTAGTGTATCCAGCTGTTACTAATACTTGCATCAATAAGCCATGTGAAAATACACCAGCACCACTTCTTTGAACGGATTCCAATTCTATATGTAGAGATGTTTTGGTCCATTAAATCCGTTCATATTATTGTTATATTTGGCAATGATTTGCGGTCTTGCAAAAGATCGTGCATGTGACGGAACTGAATCACAATTCTCGTTCCAGTTGATTTTACTGTTAAGCCTATTTTTTTGGGATATCGTCCCTCTCTTCCTGCTTTTCAAAATTCTCATTTTTGAGAATAATTTGTGTTTATAATTTCAGTATTTGATAAGGATCATTAAAACTATCAAAGAACAAAGGCGTACAAATATAGAGGAACTATTGGAAAAAGACTAAACTGTACTGTGATTCTAAAGGTACTGTGATAGTAAAGCCCAAAAACTAAACTAGGTACGAATGAAGAGTTACAAAAGCCAACAAAGAAATGATTAATGAAATTGAAACTGAATGTGAATATCGGCAAAATAAATCTTGTCATTAATACTACATTTTCTGTAAATAAAAAATGATAATTTTTGTGAGTTTTATTTTAAAATATTTTACAGTTTAGTTAATCTAAATGATGAGTTGTAAAATTATTATAGACAATTTTAAAATCTAACAATAAAACTTTCAAGAAACACGAGTCATGTTTCTAAAATTTTATACTTTATAATATTTACCTCGCTAGACGATTGCATTCTAGATGCCGTGTTTACTGTATCACCGAAGAAACAATATCTTGGTAGTTTTATACCCACAACTCCTGCAACTACTGGTCCCGAATGAGCACCTTAAATCAAAAATTATACATAGTTTAATATGTAAACAATCCATAGGGTTGAATTCAGGATTGCTAAGTGGCCTTTTCATGAATTGAATACCAACAGTTCATTAATTCTTATAACGTTTTTTGAACTAATAAGTCAGACAATTTAGAAGTTTAGCAGATAACAACCTGGTTTTCGTAGTAGAAGTCGTGTACAGATGCAATATTCGTCATGTATCGAGGATGAAATAGCGTTAACAAAGGAAGAGGATACAAAATGGGAAACAAAGAAATAAAAATATTCTATTAAGTAGACGACGCAATATTGATATCCCAAGATGCAGATAGTCTGCAAAGACTGGTCCATAGATTTAACACAAGAGCAAAAGAATTTATTGTAGCAATCTCAGAACACTGGAACAATAGTAATCAGCAAAGAACCAACCAGATGTCAAATTCAAATGATTGGAATCAGTATTGAACAAGTAATAGAAATAAAATATCTTGGAATTACACTGTCCAGCTATGGAGACCTGGAAAAAGAAGTGAGGGATCAATTACAAAAAGCAAATAGACTAGCATGATGGCTTATTACTACTATATGGCAAAACACATACATTAATACTGAGATGAAGAGAATCATTTATAAAGCCAGTGTAAGACCAATGATGTCATATTCCTCAGAAACAAGACCTAACGCAGCCACAACACAGAGTCTACTGGAAAGTGCAGAAATGAAAGTACACTTGAGCGCAAAATAATCGACTCAAAAGCGATATTTGAGATTACACCTTTTGTTTCAATGTAAGAAGTTTCCTAAATATTCATCATTGGAACTAATGAAAGAAAGACGTTATGAAGAGAGAAATCATCAGTTACAACATGAATTTCTTAATTATTCAGTATTTGATATTACCATTACTACTCCTTATTACACTTTTCAATCGATTTCGCATGAATCGGATGACTTTTCTAATAAATTCTTAAGGCTTTGCTTCCCCTTCATCATTAAGCTCAGTTCTTAATTCTATTATGCTCCTTGGTGCATGATGTCTGTCCCATATCCTTCGTTTAAGCTCATTCTAAACATGCTCTACTGGATTTACGTCCGGGCTAAACGCAGGCTAATTTTTTGTAGGTATACCTATCTCAGATAGAGAGGTGGTGGTGACTCGTGCGATATGGCATCGTACATTATCGTGCATTAAAATAAAGGCAGCATCAATAAGTCCCGCGTATGAAACTACATGTTCCTCCAAAATGTCTCTGATGTCACGTTAAATCTCCTCCACATCCTCCACCATGCACGAACATCAACTCGGTTTTCCCTTCTATACAACTGTCTGCCCAAAACATACAAGAATCGCCTTCATGATACACTTTCTCGTAAACAAAATTGATCAAATCGCTCTCCTGGCCTTCCATAGACTCGACGCCTCTTGTCGTTGCCATGTAGGCAGAATCCTACTTTCATCGGAGAATAATACCTGACTCCATTGATAGTCGTTCCAATCCAGATGTTCGCGAGTAAATTCTAATCGCCTTTGCTTCTGGGCTGCAGCTGGCTTGGTGCCCTTAGCTGCCCTTTTTGGTGTCAGCTTGGCAGCCTTTAGTCTCCTTCTGACTGTCCAAACGCTGGTCACCACACCTCGGACCTCACTAAGCTCTTCTTTGAGTTTAGCAAAATATCGGTTTCTTAGGGATTTTGATACAAGAAATCGATCACCTCTCTCTGTTATTATTCGTTTACGGCCTCCTCCTTGTCGACGGATATAATCAGCAGTATCTGGGTACCGAAGATACACTCGGGATACAGCAGATTGGCTTAAATTTAGTCGATTTGCCACGGCCCTCTAGCTCAGGCCTTCTCTCAATAATGCTACTGCTTAAGTTGCGTTGAAGAATATGGTATCCATTTGTAACGCAGTTGCGCACTTAAGTGACTGTTGTATTAGTCGGTTGCTATGGAAATTGACAAGGATCTACAGACCGAGAATTTGGCATCCAAATTCCACGGCTTCACGCAATCGTACTTGTAAGTTCGTATAGTCGGCTGGAGTTACAATTTGCCAAATTTAAATGTAATCGTTTCTACTCATTCATATTAATATTATAATGTATAATATATTAAAGTTTTTAATATTGGTAATATTATTAAAGCTTTTAATACTATTTTTTAATATTAATAATAATATTAAGTAATTAAATATTGCGCCTTACTTAAAAAAAGTACGAGATAAATATAACTCGTTTTTTATACCTTTACGTATGCTAAGGGTACCTAATAAATTAAAATCCTTCAATACAAGACTAAAGGTAGGTACCTATAATTTGAATAAGCTGGTTTTGCCCATACTGACTTTCTAATTCTAATTACCTACTAATTTGCATAACAGTCAGATATTGTACCTGGTCATAATGCTGTTTTAATATTAGGATTTTCATTTCGCTTGTTGAGACTTCATCCGATATTAATTTCTTGGAAATTTTTATAAGGCTGAGAGTACTTAATCGGAATACTCGAGTATTGTTGAAAAAAAACTGAAATTGAAGGTACTACACAATCGAAGAACTCAAAAAAATTAAACATTTCCGGTATTCTTTTTCCAGATCGTATTTTGTTTTGGAGATATATTTAAATTTGGGAATTTTTTATTATTTTTCCACTTTTTTCAGGTTCTTTTTTAATTTAATTTCAGTATATAAAAGCCTTTACAATATTATCCAAATTTTATTTGGAAGTTTTAATCTTAAGTGTTCAGAAACAATTTGCTATTTAGGAAATGAAAATTGGTTTTTTTTCTTTAGTTCTTAATTTGCTATAACATTTCATTTAATATTTGATTTAATAAAAAATATTGTAAATTCATTTTTTTGAATAATTATAACAACGACTTACATCCGAGTAGCTTAACACAATTAAAGAAAATATAACGAATACGCTCACGACTCGGAACTGAGTCTTTTCTTCTTTTCGCATAAAATATTATAAATTTATTTAAAATACCCTTTATTTAATATATACTTTATTTATTCATCACAATTAAAAAAAAATACTAGTCAGCACAGCGGTTGATTTCCATGAAAATACGCTAAGCAGTGATAATGATTGCATGTACCTAAGTTAATATTTTTGTCTTTTGGTTGGTGTTATATTGGAAATTTCCCCTCTCAAGGCATTTGCAAGAAAATTGCACTTTCATGTAAAAAACGAGTTATTTATCTCGTACTTTTTTTAAGCAAGGCGCAATATTTAATTACTTAATATTAATATTAATATTAAAAAATAGTATTAAAAGCTTTAATAATATTACCAATATTAAAAACTTTAATATATTATACATTATAATATTAATATGAATGAGTAGAAACGATTACATTTAAATTTGGCAAATTGGTACTCCAGCCGACTATACGAACTTACAAGTACGATTGCGCGAAGCAGTGGAATTTGTATACCAAATTCTCGGTCTGTAGATCCTTGTTGGAAATTGATGCGTACGATGGTAACCGAACGTGGTATGTCTGTGCGTGTCGATTTCAATTAGTCAAATTTTGACCCCCTCTCTACGTGTTGCGTTATTAATTTTTAATGCGGCATCCAATTCACCAAAAAACAAAATTTTTTAGAACTTAATAATGAGGTTAATGATTGTACACTAAATATTTTTAAATTTACACTTTTCAGATTGAAAAGGAGACGTACTTTCGCAAAATAATTTTGAGTTGATTATTTTGCACTCAAATGTAGTAAGAATAATTACAGGAATTCCTTCAGACATAAGATTTTATGTCGATAAATTGTCTAAATATACTATAATATACAAAACGAATCATAACGTGTATAATATCTCCCATAAGCAGAGGCTAGAGGTCAGTGGCTATGTAGGGATTCGGAGAACCCAGGTTCGATCGGTGGCTCCGAAAATTTATAATTTAACTTAGATGATATCGTGCTTCGGAGGGCACGTAGAGGTGTTGATCCTAATTACGTAAATAGTTGTTATGCTAACACCGATTGTGCGACATGAAAACAAGAAGTTTTCACAAAGTTTACTTTTATAAATTCGCAGCTGATTCGCTAGTTTTTTCAATCGAAAACTGAAAGGTAATCCTTAAAATACGTATGTGATACAAAACATCACAAAAATAGCTTGACATCATGTCTTACTCAATTAAAACCTTATTTATTACTTGTTTCGCATATACTTACCTATTCTAATATCAACTTTGGTGCCAGAAGGAATCTTAAGCTGTCTGATATGTTTAACCATCTCTAGTGAGACATCAACAATATTTTGTGCATGGTTTTCATTATCGTCTGGGGCTCCACATACTGCCATATATATTTGTCCAACAGTTTCAACCTAAAAGGATATTAGAATATATTCCAAAAAATGTTAATTTTTTATTGGGATTGGGAAGAATATTATATGTCTAAAGTCTGTTTGCAACTGGCAGCTCATTGCAAATGCAAATTTTTAAATAGAGATTAAAGGTTATCGTTAAGGCCATACACCATTGTCGTACGGATTTAGTTGAAACCAATAAGGTTTTTTTGAAAAATTATGAGTTAAGGCATTAATATATGGTCCCACGTTGGGCGCCAATGTGTAACCATTGAACGACCCATCAGAAACGATGGGTGCCGAAGTGTAACCATTGAATAACCCACCAGAAACGGTGTATGTCAATGGGTAACAATATTAACTACCTTGGAAGTTGTAATCCAATGTAGAACAATAAAACTCACTTTCTTTGGGAGAAAATTGTTGGGACTCGTTTAGCTCAGTCTCTTTGGCGCTTCAACGTGACTTATGTTAATTGTAAATTTGTTCTTTGCATTTTGTTTGGTGACAAATATTTTCCAGATATTAATAAATACTATTTATTTTTTTTTCAAATCCTGCAATCTTCCTACTTTTTGATTAATTTTGATAAAGTATAAAAATAATGAATCAGATACTAAGTTTACACCGAAAACTGGCAGATTCTACCTATCAAAGCTTCTTTGAAAAAGGACCGGTCGTTTTTACATTGCTAAAATAGTATAATTTACTCCAATATAGTAAATTACCTGAGGAGAATTGACTTATTAAAAACTTTTGACTGTTTGAGATATGATTTTTAAAAAAATAGTCGCTAACTTCGTTCGTATTGGTCATAGAAGGCTTATTTTTTTAAATGTGAGTTTTTTTACCAGCTATCCAATGGTTGTACGTACAAGTCTGTAGCTTGAAAAATATAGAAATTATTACAATTGTTTATAAGTAAAAAACATACCCCTTTTTCAAAAGTTTATTTTGTAAATAATTTTAATGAAAATTCAATATGCATTTAACTTCTCAGATAGTTTAAGTCTTATGCTTTATAATGTGCTATAGCTTTATTTACCCTCAGGGATAAATAAATTAAATAACTTTTTTAAACTATTTGACCGATTGGGGGGAAATTTCACACAAATTCAAAACAAAGCTTTTCCTCGATGTTTAAATGTAGTAATAACATTTTATTTTGTTAATAAAAAAATTTATAAGTTAGTGCAAAAAAACTGCTTTTTTGCAAATATCTCTGTAAATTATTTATCAATTTTAATTGAGAAAACGGGAAAATAAAGATATTCTTGATATAAAAAATCATATAAATATTGTTTATTTAAAATATAAGGGAAAAACTTAGAGACACAAAATCAAATTGTGACCTAAATTATTGTTTGAAAAAAAGGCAGAGTAAAATAGGAGTATATTTTCATATATTCGTCATCTAGTAACCCCCACCTATGTCTTGAAAGCATCAAATATCTGCGAAAAATTTTGCCGTGAAATCGATGATTTTTGCATAACCAAACTGGGCTAAATATAAAATTGGTAATATATAATTTATTTTCAATAATCCATGAAACAATTCCTTCATCTTATTTCAGACTGACTAACAAGTTATACTACATTAATGCTATTAAAAGCGTTCCAGAGAATAAGGGATCTTAATTATTTGGATCTTTATTAGACCTATTGTTCCGTATAATTAAGAGTAAAGGCAAATAATCAAGTTTTTTGTCCTAGAAACAGAAATTAAGACAAACTGAACATAAACGAACCTAAATTCATCACACTTGACAAACAAGTTGCTCGGTAATGTCAACAAGTAAGAGGTGGATAAATAAACAAAGGTTTAGTTTGCCACAAGGATTTGGGTTTGGGTAGAGATTATTCGAATTGGGAAGATTAGCAAACTTCAGGATATAGACCAATTAAGTTAGTAAAAAATAAGAATTTTTTATCATAAGTGTATATACGGGTTTGATAGATACTCTCATCTAGTGATTCATCAATTTTTTAATGAAAATACGTTTAAAAATGCAATCAGAATGTTAAACTCATTATTTTCTCATTACTTAAACTTGTTTATTTTAGTATTGAACGTCAATAGACGACTTTTTCAGAAGAAAATATACACAAAATAAAATATGCTTAATTAAAATAGGTAAAACCAGTATTCCAAAATTTTTAAATTTTATTGCCGCATCTTTAAATTATTACTTGAAATTTCCACGGAAATGTTATTAATATTCTGTAAAATTGTATACGACCTACATTTATGCGTTTCTTGAAATAAACGTCAAATCGAAAGGCGCATTATTTTGAAGCTCTAACAAAAAATATCAATTTTAACCCTACAACAGGCGCGCCGACTACCGTTTCATAACCGGGCGCGCTGTGTATTTTGTACACAAAACATATTTTAGTTGATTTTACCAAATTTAGTGCCTTTTAACAAAATGACAACCACGATTTACAAAAAAAGTTTATTGTTACATAAAATAATAAACATAAAACATGTACCTACGTGTTACTTCACTCGATTTCTTCTGATTGTTGCCGTTCATTGTTCATACATTTTACGCAGGTAATTGTGGTTTCTGAATGCATTTTACATACAAATATTCTACATAGCCCACATCTAACTGTTGTGCTGGAATTTTTTGAGCCTGGACATATTGCACAACGTCCACGTTTTCTAGAGCTTTGCACTTCTGTTCTAGTAGGTTCTTCACATGATTTATATTTCATTAGAAAACCTTGAATATCCTAAGGAAGATATCGCATTGTCGCTCTTTCTGAAAGATGTACTTTCATTAAACTCAAGCTTAAATTCTTTAGAAAAATATTGTTTTATTGGCACAAAACAATACCTGCGCGTTGATACCCGCCATATCCATTAGAGAAAAAAATATAATTAGTGGCCATCTTCTGGTTATTCTTTTTAAAGAATATGATGCACACATTTCGTCAATAGTATCCACACCGCCTTTTGTGGCACTATAATCTAGAATAATTTCTGGTTTTTTAGTTTCGACGTCTACGGTGGCAGTGTCATGCATCGTGGATAAAAGTATGACCGACTTACTTTTTTTTGGAACAAATGAAACCAAAGTGACATTTTTCTGGAATCCAAAGAGTGACGTTCCGACTTCTTTTTGTTTTTGGTGTAAAAATTCAATAGGTATTTCCCTTTTGTTTTTTCTCAAAGTGCCAATTGTAGTTATTTTATTTTCGAAAAGGGAAATAGCTAAAGGATAACTGGTATACCAATTGTCGGTTGTCAAATTGCGATTTGAACCTTTTATTTATTCAATAAGCCTATCTACAATATCACTGGGAGAGTTTGATACAGCATAAGGCCCCTCAGGTTGCCGTCCACAATAAACCTCTAAATTTCCAACAAAGTAAGTTTGTGCATCGCTCAAAATGAACAGCTTGATACCGTATTTTGCTGGTTTATTTGGTAAATACTGGATTAAACTACAACGTCCTCTGAATCCCTCTAGTTTTTCGTCTATTGTAACAAATTCACCAAGATTATAGGAATTTTTACAGTTACTAACAAATGCGTCCAATATTTTTCTAATTGGTGCAAGTTTGTCATATATTTTCCGTTCAGGTCTTGTGGTTTTGTCATCAAAGCGCATTGAACGTAACAAAAATAAAAATCTTTTGTAACTCATTACAGCTCTAAGAATTTCTATACCTGTTCCATCAGATGTCCAAAGTTCAAGTGCGTTAGTATGGTTAGCCTTTTTAGTGCCTAGGAGGTAAAGTACTCTCAGTAACGCCATTATTTCACTTTTTGAAGTATGTTTCATATCTCGTTCTCTTTTATATTGAACAGATTCTTTTTTACTATCAATGTATAGATTAGTAAATTGTACGATGTTCTCCATTATATCAGAATCTATAATTTTTTCAGAAGCTGAAAGTTCTGAGGTCACTTTTGAAGCCACTGCCTTTGGTTCTGGAACTATTTTGATAATATTTTTCTTTTCAATTTTTGATTGCGACGACAGCGGAGTCTTACGCCATGCAGTTTTTTTATCTTTACCTTGAAAATATTCGAAAGCAGTCGTACTTACTGCAGTATTATCCTCGAAGTTACTGGCTCTGTCGTGGTCATTCTGTTCTTGTTCAGATTCAGAATTGTGGTCATCATGGTGTATTATTTCTTCATATGTCTCAGATTCATCGGAATATTCTATTTCACCAGTTTCTGTTTCTGGGTCTTCATTAAGAATTTTATTTAACTCAGCCTCAGTTAAAAACTTCTATCTAGCCCTGCAAAAATAAAAAAAGTAACACACAAATAATATAACAATGCAACTAAATTCTTACATGATATTCTCTCAGCGTAGCCGTTATATTCCTTCTCAATTATGTTACAATATCCTCTTCAACCTAAAATAAAGTAAAACTTAAGTTAATTTGACTTTAATTTCAAATTACAACTTTTTATAAAGTAAAATAATTAATGGATAAAATACTTACACTAGAAGGCGCGCCGTGTATGATGTACACAAAACCGTCGTCACACTCTCGTATTTCTGAGAATTCTCACAAAACTCAGCTGCAACAAAAAATATTACTCATCTATTCGAACGACAGATCTCTACTGGACGAATAGACGCGAAGATATCGCCAGATTGACGACACTTCTATTTTTAGACGACTTTTTCTATTGAACGTGTACGAAATACACGGGCGCGCCCGCTCGAGGGTTAAAGATTTTTTCTTCACTTTTACGGTATCACTTGCAGTGGTAAAGACACATTAAACTGGTGGTCTGTAAGAAAGTGTATATTTCGTGTGTAGGTAGTAAAATCTTAAAAAAATCGACATGGAAACATTTTATATAGAATTGGGAGAAGATAGGATGATGGAATTTTGAGAATTAAAAAAAATAGTAACATTAAAGTAAATCATAAACAAACGAAAAAAACCAAATAACTAGCACTAACGAGGTAGGTAACCAATTTGATTGTAATAACGATGCAACTTTGACACAATTTAATAAAATAGATAGATCAGGTAATCCA